TTCCTTTTTTTTTTTTTTTAATGTTTTTGTTGATTTGAGAGAGGGAGGGAGAGAGAGGGAGAAACAGTGATGTGAGAGGGAAACACCGATTGGTTTGCCTCCCATACGTGCCCCGACTGGGGACTGAATCTGCAGCCTGGGCACGTGCCCTGACCAGGAATCAAACTGGGGACCCTTGGGTGCACGGGGGGGACACTCAGACTCCTGAGCTGCACCAACCAGGGCCTGTACTTCCTACACTCACATTACAGAGATACGCTGACCAAGAACAGACTCCTTTTAAATCCAACCACTGATATCCCTGGAAGCTTTTCCAAGATCTTATTTTTTTCCCACTTGGAACTGAGGTTCTACAGCCATGCATTTTACACATTTACCGGTTATATACCAGGTACTTGTTATTGCCAGACACTGTGCTAAGGTCTTTACACTGTCATTGTCTCGCTGTAATTTATTTAACCGAGAGGGCTGGTACACTTCCCTGCCCATGCGGCCCACACAGAAACTGAAAACTCAGTAATCTGCCTAGTTCATGTAACTGGAAACCGGAGGATGCAGCGTATAAATAAAAACTAAACTGATTTCAAAGCCCATTCTCTTACCCTTTTGGCTGTATGTGCCCCCTCCCACACAATAAACGTGTCAGTTCTCACCATGTGGCACATGTGGCACACGCACTGTAGTAGGCCTTCTACGTGTGTCCCTCCTTACACAACGATATGAGCAGATACTATCTTCCCATTCTGTAGACAAATAAACTGAGGCCCAAACAAGAGCAAAAGTGTGGTCCAAGGTGACATGGCTGGGAAACGGCGGTGCTGGGATTCAGACCAGGCAGCCTGACTGCAGAGAGCAAGGAAGAGGCACCGGAAGGAAGGAGGGGTGTGAGAGAAAAAAATAGCTCTGGGGAGAAATCCACAGAGTGTCAAAGAAGCAGGCCCTCCTCACTGTCTCTGAGAAAGAAGCAATGGAGAGGTGGACGGAAACATAGAAATTCCTGACAGTGGCTAAGAGGATGGGGGATAGAAACGTGGTAAGTAGAGAAAGCCTGTACACCCTGGGCGTCTTCTCAGCAGCCCACAGAAGACGGTGCAAGGTCCTCCTCCCACCCAGAAGGAAGGTGGAGGGCGGGTAGACATGGACGGGTATAGAAGAAACTAGCTAGTTCCATAATTTCAAAAGACCAACTTGGGCTAAGGAGTTGGCAAAAAAAAATAGATTTTTAAAATTCTATTTCCAAATAGAACATATTTTAGAAATCCTGAGCTCTGAACCGTGGTATTTCCCAGCTCTTCTGCCTCATTGTATTTCATCTGCTCGTCACCCGTGTGCTCAGGATTCGTGATTTCAACTATCCTGGGCGGCAGACCGTGCTCAGGGACTGATTCGGTCTTTGCCAGCAATTGATGTATCACAGGTTTACTGTAGGAATTAGAAGAAAATTCACAAGCCAGCAGTATACAAGACACTGTCTTCTAATAAGCCAGCACAGAAATAGCATAGTCCAAACAAGTGACAGGTCAGTCACACTATTGTTCCAGACAAGAGGAGACCAAAGGGATAAAATCCAGATTTTACAGAAGTGGACCGTCTTATAGGGGCTAGGGAGCCACTTCACCTGACCTCCAGCTGCCAGCACCAAAATCCAAGTCCCTTGTTGCTAGGTCATGTCACTAGGGAACCAAGGCTGCTCTGGGGTTATCACTCCNTGTTTTGGGAGATTCAGCAAAATTATACTCAGAAACTGATACAGTCTTTGCCAGCAATTCACGTATCACAGGTCAGTGATTAGAAGAAAATTCACAAGCCAGCAGTATACAAGACACTGTCTTCTAATAAGCCAGTACAGAAATAGCATAGTCCAAACAAGTGACAGGTCAGTCACACTATTGTTCTAGGCAAGAGGAGACCAAAGGGATAAAATCCAGATTTCACAAAAGTGGGCCGTCTTATAGGGGCTGGGGAGCCACTTCACCTGACCTCCAGCTGCCAGCACCAAAATCCAAGTCCCTTGTTGCTAGATCATGTCACTAGGGAACCAAGGCTGCTCTGGGGTTATCACTCCAGGACTGATGCATGGTGAAGAGCCGCTGCCCACTAAAGGGTCACCTTGGCCCCGGCAGGAGCAAATGTCTCTGGATGTTCTGAGAACTGTTTAGGTCAGCAAAGTGCCCAGACCAAAGCTCTCCAATAGTCTTCACAAACCCTCAGTATTTAGTCTAAAGGTCCCCTTGCCATAGTTACTTCTCTACCTGGTCGTGCGGATGAGCCCCAGCAGGCCCTCAGCACCTGAGCTGCTGGGGCTTCCCCACAGCAACAGAGGAGGTAATGACATCCTGACACCACTTCACTTCCAAAAACAACCTTTTTAGGTCTTTGTCATAAACAAGTGGATTAAAACAACTTCCCCTAAGTCATAAACAGGTGGATTTGAAATCGTATCAAACAGATATACATTTAAAGCTTTTTTAAAAAAATGCTTTTATTGATTTTCAAAGAGAAGAAGTGAGAGCGAAAGACAGAGATAGAAACATCAATGAGAGAGTCATTGATAGGCTGCCTCCTGCACGCCCCCAACTGGGGATGGAGCACACAACCTGAGCATGTGCCCCGACTGGGACTCAAACCACAATCTCCTAGATCCCAGGTCGATGCTCAACCACTGAGCAACACCGGCCAGGCACATTTAAAGCTTTTTGCCCCAGGACTGCTTTGTAAGAACTAGAAATGAGTCATGTTGATGTCCCATGAAATTGTTTCCCTAAAATATGATATCTACGTTCTGCGCCTCTAACCTGGAGACAGGACCTCCAGGGTTTCACATACTTTCATCTGTGTGGTCAGTCAGGCATCTATGAGCAACACTGGTCTAATATTTTATTCATGGAACAAATATGTTAATATTCATTTGAATGACAAAACACAATGACTCTCTTACCTGCCCTGTTGCCCACTGAGGAGGCATAACGCATTCAATTGATCATAATCAATGTGCTTAGGCATTTTCAAGCCTGAAAAAAAAAAAAAAAAAAAAAAAGTGTGATGTGTTTTGTCACATGCGCTATGCCATAATTCCCACCTGACAAACTAGCTGAATCAGNAAAAAAAAAAAAAAAAAAAAATCAATTAAAAATGCAAGTAATTTTCAGTAATCTTATTAACCAAGTGTGTAAATAGAGTTTAATTGCAGACATTCATTACAGTAGAAGAATTCCGTGACTATAAAAGTAAGGTATTAACAGTCTGTGTTTGACGTACAAGCAGAATCGAACAGCATGATTAAAATGGGGAACGAATTTAATGGTTTTCATTGATGTCCTGTTTGTCTGGCATTGTTTGTTCGTTTGATTCCAGTAAGTGCTGGAGTGTACATGTGTCATATAATGTCACTCGTCTGGAAGTAAGCCTCTCAGAATCCCCGCCTGACACCTGTGGGACGTGAACTGGTTCCAGACCTCCACACAGGACAATCCAGAACAGAATTTTCCTAAGGTCTCTGTTTCTCTCCGCTTCTCTGGAATTCGGATCATTTTGATTCAATCCTTTGCAGGCCCCATGCTTGGCTGGACCCTCTCCAGAGCACCTGCAGTGTCTGGATTCAGTTTGCAATTCCTTCTGAAGTTCAAGGGTAAGCAAACCTCACAAGATCCCCTAAGAGCAGAAAGACAGTAAGCATAGCCAAGGAGCAAACTAACTGTGACTGTCCTTCAGTGCCAGAGAGAACGGACATCCTTGGGAGGAGATGGAGGGAAGGCAGAGTACCGAGGACCATCAGCATCCTCACGACGGTCACAGAACCTCCCGACTCCCGGAGAGCGCTCGTAGGAAATGCCGTAAAACGGAAAACAGTAACAGACACTGGCACGCACAGTACTCCTCCCTTAGTAGTCAGGTACTGAGAGAAATCAGCAGCCTAATGTACTTCTAAAACTATTAAAAACGTATTCCCTGACCACACCCAGCTATGAAGAACTGGTGTTTGACTTGTCCGCATGCATCCATTTTCATTTCTGGTGACCGAATCACGAAATCTGACTTTTTGTTTAAGCCTTTGGTGATCTAAAGATCAATTCTCAATAACAGATACCATCTTCCCAAATATGAAGTTGAAATAAGGGGAATTGAAACAGGAAACTGATTGCTACCTACACAAATCATAACATTTAATACATCTGAAAGTACTAATTACAGGATTTTGGCATTTTCTTACCTACATTACTCAGTTAAGCCTTAAGAAGCAAACAAAAAAATTACCTAATTGCATTTTAGTATCATATGGAATAATTATTTTAAATGAGCCAAGTTATAGCTGGATTATATAAAAAATACTTTCATTATACTAATGATTCTGATATAACATATCATATAAAATCTTAATGATAGCAGATTTTTAGATACACGGATTAAGAAGAGACTTCTACCAACTACTGATTGAGTCCACTTTCCGATCCAGTTTAGCACAGAGTCAGAATAGCCCCGGGATGGTGTGGACAGGACAGGAGGAGGGTGCCATGGAGATTTGGCAAGAGGTTTAGAATTTCTGACTGAAAAAGGGAGTTTAGCCCTGGCCAGGTGGCTCAGTTGGCTGGAGCGTCCTCTCATGCACCAAAAGGCTGCAGGTTCAATCCCCAGCCTGGGCGTGGATGGGAGGCAACCAATCTCTGCTTCTCTCTCACATCAATGTCTGTGTGTCTGTCCCCCCTTCCTCTCTCTAAAAATCAATGAAAACATATTCTCGGGTGAGAGTTAAAAAAATAAACAAAGGGAACTTTAAAAAAGTAGATATTTTCATCCTTCAGCTAAAGCAGCTTACAAAAATAAAAGTAAAAATCGCAGGATGGATCTTGAAAGTCTTGCTAATGAAGAACAGAACCACTGAAAACTCGCCTTGCCCGGGAACAGCGAGAGGGCGAGGCCCTGCTCAGGGGGGAAGAGCCAAGGAAGCTCGAAGCCCGAAGAGGGCACAGTTCTCCCGCCTGGAAGGACGCTTGACTCACTGAGCGTTTCCTCTTCACTGACCCTCATTTCCAAGAGGCAGAATCCGCCGCAAGGGTCTTTACATAAAGGGTGTTGAGCAACAGAATGGAGCCTGTCTTTGAAGCAGTTTCATTAAAAAGGCAAAAGATTTCAACATGAAGTTGCGAGTTTGTAGAGTCCAGGAGTTGGGCTGTGAGCACACGTAACGAAAGGATAACGCTGAAAGGGTTTCCAGGAGTACGAGGCTTACGTTCGTTCTCCCGTCTTGTTCTCGCTTCCTGACGACGTCTTAGCCAAGTTTTGATGGATATGTACAGGGCTTAACCTTGTAATGGGAGTAAAATCAAGGATTTTGACCAGAGTAAATCCGAAAGAGGGTCAGAAGCTGATATAAAAGGGTGGAGACAAAGTGAACCCTAAACTAGAAATCCACGGTACAATTAAAGCACCAGTTACCGTTATTAAAATAAGGCCGACCATATAGTACAAGAAACGGGGGAAAATGAAATCAAAAGAACTAAGCAATTGACAAGAATTTAGAAAAAAATATTCTAAATAAAGGAAATGGTAAGAAGAAAGTAGAAAAGCAGAAATTAATGAATTGATGAAACAGGAAGGACGGTAGAAAAGTCAACAAATTCAGAACGTGGTTCTGCGAAGGGGAAACTAAATGACTGGCTCATCTCAACAGGGGACAATGTCCTAAGTGCCCGATGTCAGAAATAAAATTGGGAAATACCTGTAAACCTCGTTATAAAGAAAATCAAGGGCATTTTACACAGCTGTGTCCAGGGGCCACTGTCCCTTCAGCAGGGGGCCTGCAGCTGTTCCCAGGGCCCAGGGACGGTGGGGCAGTAGACTCCTGGCTGGCGAGTTGCCTCTGGACTGGGAGGGGCCGTGGACCCTCCACAAACACCCGATGGAGAGACGTTGCTACGGGCTCCCCTGGGCACCGTGACTCGTGTGACCACAGGCTCCCCTGGTAGGGTGAGAGGTTCAGTCCAGACGCGTGGAGACAGTGCCTGGGGACCCTCTGTGAGACATGCTGGCTCCTGTGGGCGCTGAGGCTTGCAGGCCGGGGACTCGGCAGCTGCCCTGTGACTCTCCTGACCGTGAACCTGCGCTGCCACCTGGGCGCCATGGAGAGCTGTGGGCGGCTGCCCAGGCAGCTGCGGGGACTGCTCCCGGGCAGGGGAGCCCCTTCCAGCCTCCCTTCTCCCCCGTATCCGAGCACACGCGTGANCTGACCGTGAACCTGCGCTGCCACCTGGGCGCCATGGAGAGCTGTGGGCGGCTGCCCAGGCAGCTGCGGGGACTGCTCCTGGGCAGGGGAGCCCCTTCCAGCCGCCCTTCTCCCCGTATCCGAGCACACGCGTGGGATGTGGCCGTCTGAATGTTTCATTGAGCCTGGGAAGTCCTCTTGTCCCCCAGGCAGCGTGGCAGACGGGTTTGAAGGACGTCCATCATTTCCGCTGTAGTGGAGACTCCTACCAACGGGGGGGTGAAGTCTGGGACGTGAGACGCATTAGAGCCAAGGTTTCAATGCCAGGCTGAGGAAAACAGATCGCAATCTAAGTTTGGGAGGAGAGGAGGCAACTTTTGAGTGGAGAGTTAACGCAATCAGACTCCTTTTTAAATCATCCGCTTCTGTCCTTCTGCTCACGGACAAGCCCCCCTTGCCTTTGGTGACTCCTAGGGTTTAATGGTTTAAAACTTTCAGCTGGAGCAGTATTCACTTTTCCAGGTGCTCCTCTACCTTGAAACTCCTTTCATCTTTGGCTCCTCGGGAACTGAAAGATGCTCGAATTACAGGAAATGCCCCTGAAGTGTTAGGAGCAGTGGCTGTTTCCTCAGCTCCTCCGCAGACGCGCACCTCGAAACTCGAGGCGCCACGGAAAACGCGCCCCGAGGAGTGCGCCGTTTCTAAGCTCCTTGACGCCAGGCTCTCGCGGACTGGCTGTCCCCTCCACGTCCTTGTACGTCGGAACCTCCTGAGGATGAAGCCCTCGCTGTTACTGAAACAGCAGCACGGAAACCCCCTCTCCCAGGTAAACCAGCAGTCGGAACAGAATGCGCGTTTTTGTACCTGTCCTTGCTCAGAAAGATGAGCCTAATTGGCATGAAGCAAACGGGCACAGCCCAGGAACCCGAACAGAGGGAGCCGGCCGGACCAGACTCTTAGGGGTCTGTCCAGCCAAGTGCTGAGGGACAGCTTGGTGCCTTCCATTAAAACAGTGATAATAAGATGACATTTCTCTTCCGTTAGTCTCTTCAGGAAATCAATGTCTAATAACAGCAGGTCCTACGTGTACTCGGACCAGATGTTTCTTGCAGGTGGTCAACACTACCGTGGGCTTTGCGAACCATACGGTTTTCACAACAGTTCTTACCCAGAATAAAGAAGGCCGTGTCTGTTTTTGCTTTTGAGGCTGATCATTTCTTCCCGCAGGTTCCTGTTTACTAATCACCTGCATGCTAGGTGTTGGACATGCAGAGACACGAGAGGGCTCCCTTCTTATCGCCAGGCATTCATGTGATAAGGATTGTAACCCACCTGTGTATAAGGTATCCACTGTGAGGTTTCAGGTGACATGAGTAACAGGATGGGTGGAGAAAAAGGTGTTGAGGATGTTGAGAGACAAGGGAAAGAGGCCAGGAGAGTCTTTGTGGAGGTGACAGCCCCTGGGCAGAACTTTGAAGAACTGGACTGATTGCACCAGGCAGAGCTGTGCAGAATCCTGAGACACAAGTCAGAGATGACAGAAGAAGACTTGCAAGTTTCCAGGGAAAAACTATGTAAGTGACTCAAAAAGCTCAACTGCTTGGTGTGTCTGAGAGCCTGAGGTTCAGAGCAAGGAGACAGGGCTGAAAGGAAGCTGGCAGATGAGAAACCTGTTCTCTGACCCAAACCAAGAGTGCCGGAGTAGCCGACGTGCAAAATGCAAGCCATGCAGAGACGTGGTGGATGCAACCGGTGGCATGTGCGGGCACCTCTGGGTGCTGGGGAAGGAGGAGACAGGTGCCGCTGACTGTTGTTGTTATGAAAAGAGGGGATTCATGACGTGGAAGTTCTATGAAGAGTCTCCACCCCTGGACGGCTCTGTGAACCTCAGGAGGAAACCTCAGCCTCACTATCCTTAGCTGTAAACTGGACAGTGTTGTATTAGTTTCCTGCAGCTGTGGTGGCAAATGACCACAAGCCTCCCGGCTTAAATCAACACAGATGCATCGTCTTACAGTCCCGGAGTCAGAAATCCAAACCGAACCGGGTCTCACTGGGCTAGAATGGAGTTGTCAGCAGGGCTAATTCCCTCTGGAAGGCTCTGGGGGACAATTCACATCTGTGCCTTTTCCAGCCTCTAGGGGCGCCCCAATTCTTTGGCTTGTGATCCCCCTTCCACCTTCAAAGCCAGAAGCAGCCAGTGGACCTGTGTCACCCGCGCCACTCTGACTCGCACGCCTCCACTTCCACAGAGAAGGAAGGACCTGTGAGTCCGCTGGAATGGGGGACCCTCTCTCCAGGTTCATGTGATTGGCAGTCTACACCTCCCGCCACGCAACACAGTGTATCCACAGGTTTGGGGACCAGGACAGGGAGGTCACTGGGGGCCATATTCTCCTACCACAGACCTCCAGTGTCCTCATGAGTAACAGGTGAAACGACCACAGGGAGCCAAATGCTTACACAGCACCTGCGGAAGGTCCTGGATGAACATCCCTCACTGGTAAATGTATGCACAAGGTAGGCCTGGCACCCTAAATGTAACCTAGGTAACCTCATCCCAAGTAAACGGGATGTGACCAATGGCTGGATGTTTTTAAGATCCTTAGCTGCACCTGCCGATTTACACGCAGTGCATATGAATCACCCAGACTGATCCCTCCTTTTTTTTTTTTAATTTATCGATCCCTCCTTTATAATGCTGGTCCAGTCATATTCCAGATCGAAAGCATCCTCACTATGCTGTCCTGGACTTGTCTCAGCAGGGACCATCGGGGTTTGCTGAGGGAAACGGCCGACTTGCTGGAACGAGCACAAAGACACAGTTACTAAGCAAGCAGGACACGTCTCCAAAGAGAAGCCACAGACAGAACATCAAGGAGGAGCTGCTCCAGGGGCCGCTGGGGGCTCGCTGCTTCCATTACGCTCTGTTCAGCTCTGAGATCTAAATTGGCCCTGATTTTTCATCTTTTAATCACTTCACACACGTTGAGTGTCCTTGGGAGGCACTACAGAGGGTAGCTCGTATCTCATCCCAGGGATTCTAAATTAATTTGATCTTTTAACTCCCAGCTACTGCACTTCCTGTGCTAAAAAAAAAATAAAATAAAAAAAGCCTGAGGGTGACTTTTTTTTCTTTTTCACAAATAAAACCTGTATACTAGGAGCTGTGGTTTTGGGCAAAATTACATGTAATACTTACTTCAACTCACATTGAAATATAAAACATTGACTATGTGCAAAAAAATTTTCACAATAATAAAAACATAAAATAAGTAACATAGGTAGAAATTAATTTCCTTTAACATAAGAACTTTGTCTAACACTGTTCAAAACATAAGTACACCTCTTCGGGTTCTCAAATGCTGCCTGTGACACCTTTTTACCTGGAGACTATGACCATTAATGTAAAAATATATGTAGCCAGCTGGTGTGGCTCAGTGGTTGAGCATCAACCTAGGACCCAGGAGGTCCCGGTTCAATTCCCGGTCAGGGTACAAGCCTGGGTTTCAGGCTACATCCCCAGTAGGGGACGTGCAGGAGGCAGCCGATCAATGATTCTCATCATTGATGTTTCTATCCCTCGCTCCCTCTCCCTTCCCCTCTCTGAAATCAATCAATCAATAAATATATATATATTTAGTGGAGTGAACTCTCACAGGAAGATAAAAGAACCGATGGGTTACCTTCTTCAATCAACACTATAGACTCACCCCACTATTACAGTAGTAGACACGCTCTGTAGAATAATACTCAACNTTCAATCAACACTATAGACTCACCCCACTATTACAGTAGTAGACACGCTCCGTAGAATAATACTCAACAAAGTNCTTCAATCAACACTATAGACTCACCCCACTATTACAGTAGTAGACACGCTCTGTAGAATAATACTCAACAAACACTTTATCTCATTCAACATGAATTCACTTATTCATTTATTTCATATTCAATAAAATAAATGCTTTTTTTTATTGGGGTCACAATTGTTAGCTTTGTTGCCTAAAAAATGTTTTTAAATCTCCACTGTCACTAGTACTGTTACATATAATTAATCTAGTCTCTTGGTAACCGAGTAACAGGTCAGTGAATCTGAGGGCTCTGCAGGAAGACTTGAGAAAAATGGTCTGGGTTTGAACTGACTAGAAAACAAGAAAGTACTGTCAATTGTATAAACTTCAAGATAGTTAACTTTAGATTTATAACTCCTATGATGTTGTTGATCAACGAGTACAAAATAAAATGAAATGGGAATACATTTCAGAGCAAGAATAACGGGAACTGTCTTTTCTTTTCCCTTGAAAATTTTAAATGAGAATTCTCCCAGTGAAATTAAGTGTTAATTAGCTCCAGAGAACAGTAAGACTGAGTCCGGGTAGTCCCTAGAAGACCTGCCAATAACAAGGGGACATGTGTGACCTAAGCCCTTGTGTCCTACCCTCTTTAAAAGTATTTGTTATTGGAAGCCCTGGGAGTTTCCACAGAGCCTCATTTTACAAAGTAGGAGACTTGGGGCCTCTGGAGGAGAGAGCAGAATTCACGCATCGATGTTTTTTCCACTCCACTAAGAAACTGTCGATAAGATTCCCAATGTCCCTACCAACCACCCGAGACCTGAGACGCCCCATTTCTCATATCTGGGGCAGGGTCCTGCTGGAGACACTGGTAGGCCTGAGCGGACCCGCTCACCTGGCACACTGCGGGGCAGGGGAACAGACACGTTCTTGATGGCTATCATGTGGGACAGGATGGCCGAAGAGAGAGAAGACACAGGCATCTTGGCAGCTCAGAGGCAGCAGAGCAGAGGCTCCCTGACGGGCACGGGGTGCCCTCTCCTTGTGGCCTCACAGAGCAGAACCCTGAGGGTGCCCCCTGATAGGCTGGGCACTTCAGAACCTTCCCTCAGGGTTCTCAAGTGAGTGCGGTTTCCATGAGGGAGGCCAGGTCCAGGGACTGCGTGAAGGGGGCTCTGGGAGCCACAGGGAGTGGTAGGAATGAAGGATGTCATAGCCCACAGGGCACACAGAAGAGAATCAGCAGCACACAAGATCATAAAGGGCAGGGCAGCTCTTTCTTTTAACCCTGAGCAAAAGTACCAGAGAGGCTGGACCTCTCAAGGGAATTTTCGGAGTTCTTGAAAGAACAAGCGGGTTTAGGAAAAGATGAAACATGGGGTACCTGCCCCTCTCCTCCCTCACAATGATGGAACTACGTAACCATGAGTCCCAACAACTGTCTTCTCTGTCAATATCCTTCAGGAAATACCTATAAAATTTGGGGATCTAATGTATAAATTAAATGTCATTTTATTTTTAAAATATCTTTATTGATTTCAGAGAAAGGAAAGGAGAGGGAGAGAGAGAGAAACATCAATGATGAGAGAGTCATTGATCAAGCCCACAACCCAGGCATGTGCCCCGACCGGGAATCGAACCCCGATCGCCTGGATCCTAGGTGGACGCTCAACCGCTGAGCCATGCCCGGCTGGGCAAGGATGTCATTTTAAACAGGAATAAATTACTATGAAGACAGACAAGCCCAGAAGCAATTTGATTTTTAAAAATTGAGACTAGTTCTCAAAAGATATAATAATACCAGACAAATGCCATCTTAAAAACATACAAATAAGCCCTGGCTGGTGTGGGTCAGTTGGTTGGGCATCATCCCATGCACCTAGCGGTCACTGGTTCGATTTCCGGTCAGGGCACATGCCCGGGTTGCCAGCTTTACCCCAGTAAGGGGCGTGCAGGAGGCAGCCGATCGATGTCTCTCTTTAACATCAATGTTTCTTTCCCTCTCTCACTCTCCCTTCCTCTCTCTCTAAAAATCAATAAAAACATTTTTAAAGAACATACACATAACCTATTTTTCTTAAATAACCCATTATAGTCTTAACCAACAAATCAAAGTTAAGACTTCATCCAGCCCTTTTTATAACGAATATAAATATTCAGCAGGATGACTGTTCAAAACGAGCACGATGTCATCAACTGTTGGTGATTGTAAACGAAACACATCTTCGGTGGAATCAACTGTTCAAGGAAATAATTCAACGCTGTAACAGCTACGCAGTCAGGAGAGCCACTGAGGTCAGAACCCTTGTCAGAGGGGATGGCATTAGCCATGCCCAGGGCAGCTCAGATGGAATATTCAAAGCCTAGCCCAGCACAGAACGTAAAAATGCGTCCTCTCGCTGACTTCAGCATTCTTCTCCGTCACAGGCCATCACAGGCAGATGGGGTCTCCTACGGAGGATGGATTTTTCCTAAATAAAACAGAGAAAGAACAAAATGTTTGCATGACTGAGAACTGCAACCAGGGAGGCGTACTGAGCCTTCGTTTTATCAGATTACGACGTGTGTAAGCTCTGTGCAGTCAACTCTGAGAATCGCAAACCCATCCGTGCCCAAGCTCTCTGCGTACCTGACCAAGGTCTCCCTCATTACCGTGGGGAGGGCAGGTGACTCACCTGCAACACTCCTGTTCTCAGAGGAGTAACGACTGAGTGACCCCGTGCCTGTGGACTGCATTCCAGTTGCCAAGCTGAGTGGAGTTCGTGCATTACTCTTGTTTATTTTGATCTTTGTAAAGGTTTATAGGGCAGAAACTAGCATGTTCCCATTTGACTGATTTAGAAATAAAGTCTTGGTGATGGTCAATAATTTCCCAGGTCTCCCAGCCATTGAAATGCACCTCCAGGATTCAAATTCTGGCTGACTCTTCAGCCTGTCGGTTCCGCATCCATCCAAGCGAAGGAAAATATACTCAACAGCCATTTCCCCAGACTTTTAAAAATGTAAACACATCTGTGAGAAGGGAGTCCCTCTAAATTTAAGCAAGTGAGTGATCTTAACACAGACATGCACTACCCCACTGCTCTTGCTTGCTGTGGATACTGGCCGGCATGTGTTTTTCAGATACACAATCTATACTCTTTCTTGACTTTTCTCCAGATGTTTCTTTGAATTCACCACGTTTCACTCTGCAGATGCTCAAAATTCATTTAAATTTAAAAGTGCAATATCCACTTTAAACCCAGGAGGGCATGAACCATGTCTCCCTGACCTAAAAGGGAAAAATAATAATATCCCTTTCTCTTTCTCCCTCTCTGGCATTTTCTTTCATGACTTAGACATTCTCAAAGGTTCGCCTGGCTGCATTCACAAATACCTAGAGAAGCCACTAGAGGGGCCACGCATGTGTGCATGGACATGGGTCTTGGTCCAGTCCAGTCCTGGGCACATCGTGACTTCCTAGCTGGTGGGATCACGTGGTCGGAGAAGTAAAGACAGACAGGGCAGCAGTCTCAGAGTCTGAACAGCATGAGGCATTTCCTCCTCCTTGGGCTGGACCTACTATGCTCCTTCTGTTTCCTAAACATGGGAGTCTCCTTTCCACATGTGCAGCAGACAGAACTGGGCTTAAACCACACCCAGTCCAGGCTCACCTTTCTGAAGGTCATATAATGCATAGGGAACAGAGTCGCCACTGAAGCCTAGAGGGCAAGCTCTTTGCCTGGCCAAGTTCTGCCTCCTGGTCGGAGTCCCTTCCCTCACATGCTGAGGGAGTGACTGTCATTTCCCTCTTTACCTGATAACTTGCACGGCTCCCCAGTTCACTATGTCACCGTAAGCAACGCTCATGGAGGTGCCATTCACCACATCTCATGAGCTCCTCATCCTCTCATGTGTCTTTCCTAATGTAACCTGGTGGTCATTTAGGTTTGACATTTCAGAGACTTGAACTTGAAGGCAGTGCCCTGTTCCAAGCTGCCCGGGGACACGTGCTGAGCTGTGTGTTTCCCCGGTGATTCCAGGAGCAACAGCACTCTCCCTTCTCCACGGCTCTGTCTTCCACAATGTGCTTCCACAAATCACCGTAATCTGCACCCGCGCGCAGCACACGATTGGCACGAGGTGTCCTGTAGCAACTTCCGAAACGGCCTGTAATGTTATAAATCAATGTGCTATGCTGGCCTATAATATGACTTAGGGAAATACCCTTGGTTGTGCACTTTCTTCTCTGGAGAACTATCAGTCACATTTTATTGTACAGAATGAAAGCCCGTTCAGCCATATTTTCCCAGGCTGTTCATTGCTGGGTGGCTGCTGTTGTTTAAAACTGCACTTTAGTGCTTGCAAGCTAGCATGTCTTTGAACAAAACACACACACGTGTCCATACATTAGAAAATGGTAGGTCGAGTACAAGAGAGCTGATGTCCATTTGAATATTTTCATTAAACGTTATTTGGTTGCACGGTATTTGCAGCAAACATGGGACAGATTTATAGGCACTGACATGGCTCAGTGGAAACAAAACCCGAGCTTTATGAGGTCAAGTACAAGACAGAACAACCACCCAGCCATGGCCGGCTGAAGCACAGCCTTGGAGCCATCCATCCTGACGCTTTCTCTATTTTCTGTGATGCATCAAATTGTCCTTCAAAATGGTGCATCACTCACTTTTTTGATGGGTTGGATCTAAAAATAAAAATTATCCCAGCTGTTTTTCAGAGCTGGAACTGCTGCTCCCTCCATCAACCGCGCCAGCCAGGGTCAGATCAGAGAAACAGAGCCACTGGGTGACGCACGGATTACAGGATTGATGACAGGGCCTGGAGCTCACACGGCGACACAAGGCAAATCCGCCTCATCCACTCATCGCTCATCTTTTAACCAACCTCATTTCCATTTTTCCTCTAAACAGTCTCCTAAAAATATTCAGAGAAACTACTGAGTCGCCACGCAAGACCTGTTCGAGAGAACGGGGCAGCAAGGTGGCTCAGAATGGGTCTGAGTACCGACTCCAGGGTCATTCTTCCAAGCTGTCAAATAGTCATAAAAATGCCATCAAACACAAAGGGTATAACTGCGGAAATTAAGAGTGATGAATGTAATAAGCCTCCAAAAATACCTACTTTACCTGTAAAGGGATGCTTACTGAAAGATTCAGAAAGCTGAATGACTAACTGTTCCTACTTCCTAACAACCAGTCAGTCAGTCAGTCACCAGATTCTTCAGTGGGATGTCACTGGGTATTTAATGTGCTGTGGGCATTGCGCTTTGCCTTGCAGACACAAGGGTAAGTCAGTAACACGTGATGGGGACACAGCTCTTGTCCTGGGGAGGGCTGAGGCTGGTAGTGAGGGAAGAGTAGTGAGCTGTTTATTTTGCTGTTGGGGTTTTGAGCACTTCTGCTCAATATTGAAAGAGGGGAGAGGTTTCTACAGGTGGAAGGACAAGGGGTCAGGGGATAAAGCTGACTAGTCCTAAGGGGTGCATCACCGACAATGGGCACGTCATTGATACAAATGCGTGAGTGTGTTAACACGAGTATTGCTCATCAGGTGAGTGTATCGATGAATTAGTGTGCAGGTTATCCTGACATTTTGAATAAACTGTGCTTTTAAGGATTCTTACTCTCCTTTTTCTTAGTCGAATTCCTACCCACTGGGCGAGGTAGAAGAACCCTGTAACTGGTGAGAGAGGTGGGCCACAGAAGAATGGAGGTCCAGACAAGAGGGTGCAGTGAGGATTCGAGCAAGTCACAGAGAATTATTAGCCAGTACAAGGCTTCACAAGGGGATGGAGGGAGAGACCTGGCTCCACCACTACTGTCCATGTTTTGAAATAACCTGCACCATAATATCTTCCTTAGATTGTCAACTGCTCAAAATAAAAGACATCACATGCTTTTAAAAGTTCTACATATAACTAAATGTAATTAGGTCTTAAAGTTTCTTGAGCATGAGGGTGATGCTAATGATGGTCATAAGT